GAAAATCAAAGAAGGGAGATTGGGTTTTTTTTCCAAAGTTAAGTCCAAAGTCTTCATTTGATATAATCACAACATACTTTACGAAACTTTTTTTACCACAAACAGACAGACAACTGACTGATCATTTTTTGGAGATCGGTACTGTAAAATAAAATATAAAACATTACGAAAAAACTCTATCATTATTGTAAATTTTGCATTTAAATCTAAGCATTTTTAAAAGTTAAAATATGTCACTTTTTTATTACGTTATTTATTTACACGAGGTAAAAAAATACTTATTTTGAAGGTATACTATATTTTCTTCGCTGTAAACAGTAAATGATGTCATGTAAAGATCGAAGGCTATTCTCTAGATTGGAAATGTTATTAAAAAGAGTGAATAGAATTCAGTTTGCCGGTTATTGCACTAGAAGTGAAACAAAACGTATAATGGACTGTTAACTTCCTCCATTGAACAATACCATCACTGCAAAACAATAATCTTGTCATAAGATGCAGATGTGAATCATTATATTATCATTATTTATTACGTTGTCATCTTATTTCATTAAAGCAATAGTAACCTTAAAATAGTGATATTTTAAAGTCGTGATTATTCCGATTTCTATTTAGTATAATATAGTTATTTGAAGAAATGTATGTAACAACATAATGATAAAATTTTATTATGTAATAAAAAGAAACGAGTCAAGTTTTAATCCTTGAGGTACTATATATAATAACATACTGTGGCATTATTCCAGCTACGCGAATATCAGCACTACTTTATCGTATCTATAAAACTACAGTTAAATTTTCTATTTTTTGTAAAAAAAAAAAACTCCTTAAAATGATGTATATACCTAATGTAAATAATTTATTAAAGAACTTAAGGTGATTTACGTAATCAAAAGCCTTGGTAGAGGTTACAAAATATACCTACAGTTACAGGTGACGTGATGATATTGTAAACATGCAAATAAATATTAATGCATTAGTTATTCATAAAAAATATATTTACTCTAATATTTTAAGTTAAATCTATATTTCGTATTATTTAAAATATATTAATAGTATCGTATAGAAATATAACTGCGTTAACTTTCGATAAGTTGGTTTCGAAACAAATAAGGTTAATAAGGTAAAAGGTTATTTCGATTTCAATAAAATTAACCTAATTAAAATTTACTTGCCTTTATATCAATGAAATTGTTTTCAAAGTGTCTACTATTTTCTTTTTGCCAAAATTTTTCTAGGTTATCAACTAACATCTATAAATATATATTTTTTGATTAAATTTTATCATTTAAATAATAATAGGTGCAGTTTTATCTTATTTCATTCAATTTTATTATAGGTATTTAGTACGTTTTGTTACGGCCCTTTATAAACATTTAAAACGCATACCTAATATAGAGATCAAGGCCATGACATAATACTAGTCAATATCTGTTTAAAACCTTCGCTTTGCGCCGACAAGTAAACGACGCCTTCGGCGCAAAGCTTAGGATAAGGGTTTCTTAAACATTATAGTGTACACTTTATATTACATTAAAGTAATGGCAAAACGTTTACAGATATCTTGTTATAGTATGTGAGAAATTATACTTGGTTTCTTCACTGTGAGTTTTCATGCACATATGGAAATTAATGAAACAGATTTTAATAACCATTCAGAGGCTTTAGGTTTGCTTTTTTTTATTTATAGGTACATATCGATTTTCATTTCATTACGAAAGATCAATTGTTAAATAATTACATGGTTTCTTAAAATTCAAATTGGCTCGCATGCCATTTTGTACTTTACATTTAACGGTAGCTACGGTCGCGAATTCGATTCTCGGTCTGGTCTATGTCTAGTGGTTGTGTAAACTTTGTGTAAATTAAGTAAGTAAAGCTAATACAAAAGTCGGTAAAAAGATATTTGTATTTTTTTTCTCGCAAAATCTCATTTTCATAGATGCACTGCATAAAAACTCTCACTTCTTTTTCAATAAAAACCTATAACAGGGCCGGTCGTCAATATTAGCAAACTAGGCAACTGCCTAGAGAGCTCGCATTTGGATGCGGCATGGCATGCCAAACAGATTAAATTTACTGTAATATTTGAACCTTAAAAATGCAGTATCTTAAAAAAATACTTTCGGTCGTTGAAGACAAGTACATGTCTGCAGCATTCATATAAAATTTTTAGACCAGCCAGTATCTAAGGAGTTTCTTTTCATTTCATTGGCAAAATAACAAACACTCTTTAATCGGTGTACCTTTTTAATTTTGATTCATAAATGGGCGTAGTTCCAAAACACTGGTGTTTTGTCCAGGGCCTAGATATAGTTTCTTTGATCTGGCGCTGACCTATTCACTTTTTGTAATGAACAAGTGAAGAGAAAATGATTATATTGTGACGCGCATCATATAATTTTTAATAAGTTATTAAAAAAAACTGAAGCCGATATCATATATCAAAAAGTCTTGCTATCATAATAGGTATTTCAAAATAATTTATATTGAGCTCTACGTCCAATGCATTGAGTTTTAAAATCAAATAGAGAAATTTGACAGTTTTGTATGCCCGACATGCTGTTGACATAGGCGGTTAAAAGTTAACACATTCACCGGACTTCAATAGACTTTATTGAATTTGTTTTGTTACCCCGCCTTTGTCATTGTTCTTTGTAGTATTAAGTAAGTATTATTATTCCGATATTAAAGAAATCAGTTATAATTTTAAAATAATCAATTTTTGTTTTAGAATTTGTCACAATTCGTCGTTCGTTACATATCATTGTGGTTAAGGGATAAATACCGTCGTCATCAGATACTATACAGCCCAGTGTTTTTCAAAGTGGCCTATGCAAACCCCTAGGGGTATAGCGATACAAATCAAATAACGATTACTCTACGTTGACTGTATAGAAAGATGGGGTCAACATCTAATAGAGATGCTTTGATTTTATTTTTAGATCATCCCTCTAATACACATAATATAGAAAGATAAAAGGTATTCTTAAGTTTTAAAACTACGTCGCAATATTTATAAGTTGTGTCGTTCGTCACAACCTTTAAATTATTACGACAAAGTCCGAAAAATACGTGACAAAGTAGACCCTTTATCATTTTTTAATCTATTTTTTTCTATAAAAGAAGTGTGGTACATTTGATACATAATATTATTTTCCTAGCAGATTCTCTATGAGTAACCAAATGACATGTAGGTAGGTTACCATTATACAGTATATATTCATACTTATTAAAAAATCTGTATACCTATACCTACCTAGGTATTGAAAACTTTTTGAGACAATAGAAAACAAAAGTTTTTTATTACCGTCACGTTTTCGAAGCAAAGGCAGATAATTCACTCAACTTCCAACACATTATTAATAGATATACGTAAAATAGACACCATTACATAAATAACCAGCTTTGAAAATTGAGAAATCGTTGATAAAGAAAAGTTGTTTTAATTTTAATACTTAAAGCTTTAGTGAAGTAATGATGATAATTGTTTATTAAAGTAAAAACAAGAAACGAAAAATATTTATGTTTATAATTATGAAAGTCGTACAACAACTTTTCAAGCGGAGGAACGTTTTCGCGCCTATTTTTTTAATACACGGCTATCTACGCCGCGATTTTCCGTAATACTACTATTCCAATTCAACTTCTATACCCACTTCTTAATACCAAGCAACATCAAATTTCAGTCTACTTTGAACTTATTGCCTTTGTTTTAAAGATGAAAATCAAATAATCAATGCTTAAAATTACTACTCTACAGAACGCCTTTAAACACATGGCATACAGACATACATATTCGGTTAATGTGGTCTTTATGACAATGTGATAAAAACTATAGTAATATATTTCTGCGTTGCAAGATTGTTGCTTTAGAGCAATACAAATTTATTTGTGTCGTCGACAGTGCGATATCTACTTTAGTAAACGATATGCGACTCTACTTACGGAACGACAAATATTACTTTGTTTGTTTTGTAAATTGGTTAATATTACATACTTCTAAGGAACTACATCCATCAGTCTTGTCTTGTCCCATAGCGCACTTTAACTTTGGCAATTAGGGATGTAAAATTACGTACTTTTTGAAATTTATTTGATACATATTCTAAAATTAAATAATTCTTTTAGAGAATGCTATTTAATAATGCCCGGTAACAATAACTTAAGGGTTTACTACTTAAGGGTTGGTTATAGTAATAAGTTTTTTATTTAATGCGTTTGTAATGGTAAAAGGTAGAAAAACTTAAAAAATATAACATATTTATAAATTTTGTATTATGACAATATTACTTCTTCTTGTTACGTGAAAAGAAACGTACTGTCTGTCAAAAGGACCTTGACATTTGACATATCTTTAATGTTACCATTATTGACATTTGGTTCTCCTAGATAGGTATATAGGAAAAAAATGATTGATAATACTATTTCTAAAATAAACTTTTATTACAATTTAAAAATATATGAAATTGTAGAGTATACATCTATTAACTTAAGTAAGTTTGGAACACTGAGTTCATGATTTGATGATGAGAAACACACTCGAAGAATTTGTTGAGACGATTTGTCTAATATCTGAAATTAATAAAACCTTTGTAAATGGATTGAAACATGTGTGATTTGTAGAATCAAATAATGAACAAGCAATTAAAATTAAAATTTAACACAAGTAATATGTTATTTAAAAATGGGATATTTGATTGAAAAAGCAAATCGAGATTACTGAGTATATTATATATACATTTAGCTTTCCTCTAGCGATTTCACCCGCGTGGTCCTGTATTACAAAAATCTTCCTCTTGTATCACGGCGTATATTGATGAAAATCGCTTTAAAATTCATTGTGTAGCTTAAAATATCTTAGTGTTCAGACGGCAGGATGCAACTTTGACTTATACTATTGATCAATATAACATACCTATTATTGTAGTACATTTTTGTTTATATATCATAATAACAGACTGCATGGAAATAATAGTACTGAGATGGCAACACTGATTATGACGGCCATGGCAGTTCTTTCAGTCACGCGAAGTAAAAAAAATCCAAATTTATGATTAATTATTATCGTTCAAATTTGATTATAAAGTGTTTTATTGTTATTATTTAGAAAAAGAAGTGTCAGTCGGTGATTTGGGATACTTTAAAGTGTGTTTTATATGGTCTAAGACGGTGAAATGTTTCATTTTTTTGTAATTCACAGAATGTGTTGTTAAAAAAAGAGGCTTTTTTACGATCCGTGCCCATTACAGGTACCTACTTTTTTTCTGCGTTCTGTATTGATTAGGTTGCTCGACATTCCGTCCTGCCATACACTATTATAGTATGATAAACGGGTTGTTATTAGGCTTTATAAGTATTAAAATTCAGTGTTTACATTATGTTATTGTAGTATTCAACATTAAATGACACGTCAAATCATAAAATAAAAGATATTCGTTGTAAAAAAATCTGTTTCTCATGTATATCGCTAGTTGTTTGAATAATTGTATGTTGAAAACAATAAAATTATAATCTAAGGTAATGTTTACATAATAGGTTATATTTGTTTTTGTTTAAGTATATAAAAAAACTTTTTCATTGTTTACATTATAAATTAATAAAACAACCTCCTTTAAGTGTAAATATTTATTTAAACTGTTTAATATTGTAAGTAGTGAAATTGGATGTGGTTAATATTAAAACAAAAGTATGTTCTGTAATCTATGAAACTTTAAAGACATGCTATTGTCATTAACCAACTTCAAAATCGAAAAGCAGGAGGTTATATGTTCAAAAGTGATCTATGCTTTGTTTTTGCATATATTGTGGATGAAACATTAATTTAAATAACTTCCATTGTTCGTACATTTCGTAACATGTTAATACATAAACAAAAAAACTTAAAACTCAATGATAACTATTACAACAACTTGTATTGACCTTCTTTTAAGATTTCTAACAGAATGAAGTATAAATGAAAATATACATCTGAAGCCTGTAAATTTATCTACAAAATCTGCGACTATCTATACTAATACTAATATTATAAAGCTGAAGAGTTTATTTGTTTGAACGCCTTAATCTCAGGAACTACTGGTTCGAATTGAAAAAATATTTTTGTGTCGAATAGACCATTTATCGAAGAAGGCTTTAGGCTCTATAACATCACCCTGCAAATATTAGGAGCGAAGAAATAATGGAAAACACGGACGAAGTTGCTGGCGGCCACTAGTCAATAATAAAGTGTTAATTTTGACAGATCAAACAGAGCTTCAGGTAAGAGGTCGAGCCACAGCTCTCAGTCTTTTTATAATTTCAGTGTATGTATGTTAGTACAATGTAATTGTTCACAGAAGTTGAAATGAGTCAGATGGCCACAGATATGGATCCATTGAGCAGCTATGAATACCCTTCTTACGACAATTACAACTGCCAAGTGCCACCATCAATGCCAGGGTGTAATTATGATGTTAAGCTTGAACAGCCGACTTCTGTGAATCCAGAGTTTTACAGCATCTTCAATGCATTACAGCAGGAGATGCAAAATCACCAACAAGTGTTAACAAATTTAAATAATAAAAAAACTGAGCCTAACCCAATTAATCCAGTGCCACAGAAAGAAGAAGTCAAATTTAACATCAAATCGGAAGAGAAAAAACAAAAAAAGCAGTTGAAAGGTAGAACAAGCAAATATTGGTCAGAAAAGATAAAGGATGATAATTTCAAGTTCTACGGCTGTTCTGTATGCAATATTAGTTATGGTACTCTCCATGAATTAGATCAACATGTGACTGTGCATAAAGATCGAGTTACTAGTTATGATTTAAAAATAAAAAATCTTATAAAGAGAAAGAAACTAAAGAAGGAAAAGAAAAAAATGAAGAAACTCAGTAAAATTAAAACTGAAGAGCCATTGGAATTTGAAATTAAGCCTGAAGATGGTTACATTGGTAACGAAAAAACTTCAGAGTATATGAATCACAATAATGAGAATCAGCCTGCAGATCAGAAGGATGTGAAACCAATCACAAATGAAAATGAATGCAAAGATAAAGTTGAAAACTGTGTTGGAATACCAGAAACTGATAACCAGTCTTTATTGAATTTACAAAAGATTTACAAGTGCTTTGCTTGTCAAAAACAGTTTACACTAAGTTACTATCTGAAACTCCATGTTCGTTCTCATACAGGTAAATTTATTTTTTCTTATTGGCAACTATAGTATTAGAAAAGATAAAAGTATTTCGAGAAAAAAAAGGTTGATATACCTTTTTTTTTGTAAAATTGCTTGTAAAATTTCTTTGATAAACTGGATGAAGTGAAATTATTTTTATATGATAAAAAAATATGGTTTTGTATTTTTTCCTAACACATTTTTATTCTGCATTATATTTGGTGAGTTGCTTAGATTATTCTTCTTGTGTTGTATAAGATTTTGAATTGATTCATAATTTTTTTTTTTATAATATTGTATTTCTCTGATCCAGGGGTGCCCAAACTTATTTCGTCTACTACCCACTTTGAGAATGAATTATTTTTAGTGTCCCCATTTTTCACCTACTTTAAACTTCAAATAAATTCACTATTGCGAGTTATAATATAAATCACAATAATTTATATAACTGTTATATTAGCATTAATTTTAAATGAGACATTTACTATAACCCGCAAAACCTACACCTCCATTTATTATTTTTTCTATTATATTTTTGTATTTAATGGGTATTTTGGACCCACTGGGGATATCAAAACAACCTTCCTCCTTAAATTATGTTACATAATAAAATAAATGCTTTCATGTGGATATATTAATTGAAGTTTATTTTTTCAATATTTATTTAAATGTCTGCAGATGAAAAACCATACACTTGTTCGGTGTGTGGTCAGTCGTTTATAACTGCAAGCAAACTGGGCAGACATAACAAGAGGATACACCTTGCTATAAGACACCAGTGCCGTATCTGCTACCGATTTTTCACTAAGTGAGTATAGTGTATATTTGTTATGTTTCTGTGTGTTTTTGGCTTGAAAATTTTGAGACATTAGATAGTAAATTTTAATGACATCAGGTTTAGTTATTGTGGAAATCATTATTGCCGTTGCTTTTTTAGTGAACCATAACAAGTACCAAAAAAACTTTAATAATCGAAAACAGAGAAATTAACAATAATAAGAAAAATTGTGTGAGATTACAACACAACCCGACTCAATAAATGTATTCGTTAACCAGTGTTTATTTGTTAACTGTAATGATTCTTGAACACAATTACGTCACCAAAATGGCGGGGACTATACAAGCACACTCGGATTGCCGCTAGAGATGGGCAAAGTGTTTCCACCCGGCGGGCGAATAGGGAAAAAACCCATATATTTTGGGAATAAATATTTTTTGGCCGTTAAATGCCCAACCAGAGGACATAAAAACTATATTGTATTCAGAAAAGATATTTAATAAATAAGAAACTATATCAATGATTTAGCCATTAATATTGAATTATTTATAAGAAACTAATATTTTATTATGACGTAAATGAGCTCTCAATCTATAAACTTACCTCGTGTGTTCATAAGTTTTGAGATGAAATAAAAAATAAAAAGAAATAAAAGATAAATAAATAAATAGATAATAGTCAACAATAAAATATATATTTTATTCAAAATAACCGCCTTTGTTTTTAATACAGGGCGTTAGACGATTTGGCCAGTCATCAATTGCGGCATGAATCTTTTCTAGCGGAATTCGCTTTGCTTCTCGAACAAGGGTTCGCTTCAGTGACTCCAAGTTTGGTGGGGCTTTTGTTGGCAGAAATGGAGCGGAGTGCCACCTTCATACGAAACTCCCCACTATACCATCACACTAGCCGGATGATGAGTGCGCGAGACTTTCCGTGCTGAAGCTGGGACATCCTTGCTACTTTTAGCGTACACTTTATTGTTTTGTCGGTTGAACTTTTCTTCGTTAGTGAAAATTTTCTCGTCGGTGAAGAGTATCTTCTTGGCATCATGTCTCCTCAGTAGCAACGTTCGCGTCGTAACTTACGAAGACGATCGTTTAAAAAGTGGACTTTTCTACGGCTATAAGCCTTTATTTTAAGATCATATTTCAGTATTCTGTTCACTGAAATGCGCGAAATGTTAGTCTGCAGAGAGCGTTTCTTCTGAGTGCGATATGGATTCGGTGAAGTCGCTCTCGGATGATTTTGATGTTCGCAGGCGCCCTCACAGAGCGTGGCCGAACACTCCTTTGGCGATCTTGCAGAGGACTTGTCTCTTTGTACCGTTGTATTGTGTAATAGACTAAGTTACAGCTTACAGGAATACTTTTCAGCTCGCGGAAAATTTGCATCGGTTTTTTTCCGTCTTAAATAGCGAAATGACAGTTGCACGTAATTGTTTCGTTACCTTCATCACGAAAAAATATAAACAAATGAATTTGCGCTACAAATAAACTACAAGATAACATTCCAAATTCAAAATCGGTAAAAAAGTAAGAGCCAGTAACATTTTATTTTATTTTTTCAGTAAAAAGTTTGTCTCAAAACTTAAGAACACATGAGGTATTAAAGAACTTATTCTGATTAACTGAGTAAATCATCATCGCCATTGAAGTTGGACCCATGATTTTTCGTCAGTAGTAGTTTTTTGTAATTATACTAATTAAGAGAGAATTTTTGAAAATTCAACCCTTAAAGAGGAGAAAGAAAGATTGACAGTTTGCATGAAACTTTATTTTTAGGTTACTAATAAAAATGAGTTAACAACTGCTTCACTCTTTAAAGAAATTTTATCCTTCGGAGGGTGAAATAGGAGTAGCAAGTTTATATGGAAGTTCGTCATTATTGAAGTTCGAAACGTGTAACTTTCGAGCTACTAATTATTAATACATGAATGTCTTTTTCAATGATTGTAGAAATGCTTCCCTTAATGGGTGAATGTCGGAAGTTCAATAGCCATAATATGGACTATTTTTATACTCATTTCAGCGATTACGTAAAGATTAATTATTTAATTAATTACCCTTAAGACAGCGTCCAATTTCAAAAAAGGTACATACTCGGTGTGAATGTGTGCGCAGCGCGTAGGTACGTGTATACAGAACAGACACACGAAATCTCAGCTTCGCTCGGCCTCTGTCAGTCAAAAAACGTAGTATATCCTTCTTACCAATTTTCTTCAAGAGAGAAAACATATTTTCTCTCTAATGATTTTAGTTATTTTAAGGCTTATTTTTCAACCGACAACAATGTTGCTGTATGAGATATAAAACAGACTATTTAGATTAATAATAACAATATATGCTTTATTTTGCACAGGAAATTACAAATTTATTTGACCCATTAGATAGTAGGTGTTTAGCCATTAATAATCAGTGGTCCAAAAAATAGTTTCACGTCGCTTATATCAAAAATGAAAGAATTCCATGTAAACTTTCAACCCTTACACTCCTTCAAGAGTAGAATTTCGACATTCGCTGAAACAGGTATTGACTCACTTTTTAAATGTAGTCTAAAACGACGAAGAAACCGAACTAAACTAAAGAACCTTCAAGATGCCCTTCCATCCTTCTTTTAAGAAAAAATAAAAAGATGATCGATTTGCCTCATATAATAAATGAATGGCGATTCAGTAGATATATTTAAGTCTCCAAACAGAGCATTTCAAACGTTGATCTTTAGCTAAATGAATACAAGCGCAATAACAATATGTTTTGCGCGCAAGTGAAAGAGATCTGTAATAGCGTGTTATTGTACTAAATTCTTTCTGTTCGGCGGCCGGACTATAGAAATTTACATTCGTATGTATATTTGTTACAACTCTAAATCACAGGCTTATCCATACTAAGATAACACGTCTTAAATAACAAAAATCGGTATTATTTCAAACACTGATTTATAAGACATAAATATTACTGTTTTATACTTATAATTCACTCCAAAAATTTGACAGTGGTATAGTCATGTTAAATTTACCTATAGCTTATATTAATATTTATTGTTGCCAGATTTGAAAATCTGACAACCCATTTTGACAAGAAACATTATGAAGACAAACTAGAAGGCGAACCATATGGTAATCATGTTTTTAATCAAAAAGCTTCTTATTATACGTTTTTGATACAAAGACTAACACTCGTATCTATAGTCGAGAGAAGTTATTACTTGAGAAAATGGCATAACATGAGCAGATACTCCACTTTGTCCCTGGTACTCTGAGATAGGATTCGAACCCACGACCCTAACCTAATCTAACCATGAGCTATCCAGCACCTAACAGGACTGACGAATCTTTCAAGCACTTGTTACTTTATTGTTACTAACAGAGCGTAATTTCGTCAATGTTCAGGTAATCCACCCAAAAGCATTTTTCATTAAGAATATTTTTCTGTACAGCATTGTGATTCCAAACTTGAACAAATATAATAATAAGTTGATATTCAATTCAATGTAGAATGAACATAAAAACTCCTTTGCCTAGCAAAAATTTCATTTATAAAGCTTTGGCGCTTTGGCGGTTTTCTTGAATTCGAGATACGTATGAGTCCTAGTCATAAATATTTCTTTTATATTAATACATTTTTTATAATACTCTTCATGGATAAATATCGCATACAGCAAAAAAAATGGTCATTAGAACCTTCTTTTTATGGTTATTTATACAGATACTTTTAAACCAATAGACGAGAATTTATATAAAAGAAGAACTGAGAATAGCTCATAATAATAGTATTATTACTATTAACAGTTACCTCATTCAAATTCTTTATTTGTTAATATTATTTGCTTACGTTATTACCGTGGGAGAGCCACGCTTCGGCATGAATGAGCCGGCTCGACCGGATTGATACCACGGCCTCACAGAAAACCGACGTGAAGCAACGCTTGCGTTGTGTTTCGTCGTGTGAGTGAGGGTACCGGAGGCCCAACCCCTCCCTATTCCCTTCCCTCTACCCCTCAACCCTTCCCTCCAAGGCCGGCAGCGCGCTTGTAGCCCCTCTGGTGTTGCAGGTGGCCATGGGCGACAGTAATCACTTACCATCAGGTGATCCGTCTGCTCGTCTGCCCCCTAACCTATAAAAAAAATAATAAAAAAAACTTACTCGACGACGATATAGATACGGGTGTAAAAGTAAAAGTCAATTTATTTATTGCAGTTGTATATTTAGCAACGATGTTAATGACAATGGTCGTGATTGATAAATTAATTGAGTGCTAAATATCTTTTATAAATAAAGTTTTTTTTTAAATATAAAGAAACTTTTTTTTACAGACTATAATGCTATATTACCATATTTGAAAGAGTTAGAAGAAGAACTAAGGGAGAAAGCTGAAAAGGCAGAGAAAGAGAGAGCGAAGGTCAATGATCCTTGGGGTACATGGGGAGCGAATCCTGGAGATGAAGGCATTTTGATTCCGAAGGTAAGATATAAACATTTTAACAAAATGAAGAATCTATATGGCACACCCAATGAAAATTTTAATGAACGTTTTTGCAACTCACAAACTTTAATTAAAATCTGCATTAGATTAATTGCTACTTTCCACATACAATTTTTTTTAATTTACAATGTTCAAAAGTTAAAAGTCGCCATTAAAACTTTTTAATTTTAATGGATGTTTGTGCAACTACCGTAAATTATGTTTTTGTACATATGTTAAGCTACGTTTATTATATGCTCATATGTAAAGCTAGTAATGGATGGATTTCGAGTCCAATTTTTAGGCGATATTGTAGCTAAGTTTTTAATTATTTCATTAAGGTGATGTTTCTTATAAACGCGGCGCGAACACTTTAAATTTTATTTTTAAAGCATTTAACGATACATTTTGGTCACCCATCTTATTGAAGGCCTTTGTGAAAGTTGCTTAAGTTTCGCAATCGCTACTATTTGCCATTGAGCTCCTTATCAACTAATTGTATCTCTAAAGGTGGAAATACAGGAGACAACTAAAATTGAACCTTCGAGCGTTGTAATAGAGGAGGTTAAATTAGACCCCCCAGATGTAGAGATAAAGATCGAACCTGTAGAAATTGTAGAGACCAAAGAGGACCCCCCCGACGACCCAGTCAAGTCTGAGGACGAGAACGAAGACGATGTCAAGGACGAGAGGTGAGTCAATATGCTTTCTAGTTTCCTAATAGTAGTCACGCCATGTATATGTTGGGCAGTGTTTCCGAGGATTATTTTTTTCTGTAGCCTATTAAATTAAAATAAACAAACAGAGTAGAATAGCCTATTGTATGTAGGAAAAGCAATTGTTTATTGCGCCGCGTCAAAACAGTAGACGACCTCGCGACAAGAGTTGTGACGTCACATGTCAATGTGAATGTCAAAGTCTCCAATAAACGAAAATAACTAATATATTTTATGTTTAAGTCTACCGCGTGGCATTTTTAACATTAATTTAAAGTTAATGTTGATGTTTGAAGTCCTTTTATCAATACACTACAATGGCCATAATGCGTGTAAGCGAAAAATTTTATCCCTAATTTGCCTTTATCTGCTCTAAAAATTTTGCTACAGGGCCCCCTAATTAAATTTCAACAAGGCCCCCCGAGGCAAGCTACTGCCTTTTATACGACTACCTATTTATATTGTGTTTAGTGTTAATTTAAGCACATAACTTTGAAATATACTTAGGGATTTGAATATATGGGCTATCATTAAAAACGATACCTTATGCTGTGTACGCTGGCAAATTTTTTTTTTATATGACAGATGCAAGTAAATATGTCTTAGACTAGCTGGCGCCTTAGAATTAAATGACATATTGATTATAATACGGCAGACGATCGGAATCGTTAAAGTATTTAATTCGTTATAAAACTGGGTTTAGTTTTACGTAAACTAAACTGGGTTTAGTATGGTTTCGTTGATATTTGTTTGCCGAAAGGGTTCCGTCGTCAAAAAAGTTTGAGAACCGCTGTTCGATGGTATAGAATTGTTTTTAACTAACTTAATACATAATAATGTACAGTGGGAGAAAGAAAAATTCGTCACTTAAATGTCGAAATTTGCCTTTTTTGCATCGACAACAGCTCGATAATCGCTAAAAATTTGACAAAAAAGAGTATGTAACGATTTGCCCTATAATGCTTATGTCAATTTTATTTAATATCAAGGTTATGCCAGTAGTAACAAATGTTAATGACAGTTCTATATCAGTTTCTTCAATCAAAGAATTATGTATTCGTCATTAGCTATTATAAATTTATGATTAAACTAAATCAAAAAGTTTTCTATCAAAACAAGATCTTTCACTCTTAAAAACAATAAAATAACCCTTGTCATCTAGCAGTTAAGCATAGTTTCCTATGCAGCTTTATATTTTGCAACTAAGGTTTCATAAGGTAATAAATGCTCGCAACTTTAAAGGAATCCGTTTGAAATTTGACGAAACATTTCATTCCCTTACTGTATATTTAAAATATAAAATTTTCCAGATAAATCTCTCGTCATAAAAAAAATTTGCCCACAGGTATTCGGATGACGATTATTTCCCATCAAATACGTGGGCAGTGTCTCCAAAACTGGAAGATGCACCCCCATCACCTAAAACCAGGGGTGCTAAAAACACCGGCCCCCTAAAATGTACCGTGTGCGAGAAAACATTGAGCACAGCTTCTTATTTAAGGGTGCACATGCGAACCCACACTGGCGAACGCCCCTTTAAATGTTACATATGTAACAGGGGCTTTATAACTTCAAGTAAAATGCATAGGCACGTGTTGACACACGAAGAAACATGGCAAGGTAAGATAATATACTATCTGCTTACCTGTGACACCGCTCACGCAAAGAACAATGGCCATCTGCCTAACATGCTTGGACTAGTATAATCGAATAAAACGTAACTTGATGAAACTTATGTTACTTTGTTTGCCTATGCAACTAGAACAAATAAAGACATTAAATATATTTTTAAAAGCTGGGAGTATCAAGTAATTGTGTAATATGTTTTTGAGGTTATGTCGTATTATTTAAACTGTAGCATTTTGAGTTAGATGTATTTCAGTTGAAATATGTAAAGCACACGTCATATAAAGTCTAATCGTAGTCCTAGAAGTGCATACTTTCACATAATACTTCAAACTTGCTCCATATCTGATAAATTATTTTTATTGACTGTAAGAAATAAAATCATTTTTTGTGAACCAATGAACATCAAAAAAAATACTAGAATTTTTAAGATTGCTCTCAATAACTCTACTTTTCTATTTTACACTATAACTTATAAAAAGTAGTAGTGAAAATACTAATTTCAAAAGGATATAGCAAAACAACATGTTGATTTTTCTTTTCTTTATTACAACTCTAATGAATACCTCATCACGGAATGCTGCAGGAGCAGCTATATTCTGTTCGTGTCTGGCCCATCCAAGATACCAAACTATGGTCATTATATGAGCACAGCATCCCAGTGTAGATCGACCAATAAGACAATTACAGCAGTGTTCTCTTATGCCATCTAACCCGGATGTGTCATTATTCTTTAAAATGTACACATAATATTGTTTCCTCCCAATGTCTCGACTTAATTCTACTCCTTATAATTAGGACTTTATTTATATTTAAGTCTAATAAATCCAGAAAATCCGGTATTTCTCTCCAGACCTCAATTCTGTACTGCCCATGGAACCTAGTATGCTCTCCATAATACAGAAGATAATATAAAATCACCGTCAAAGTTACAAAACGGTCTGCGTAGAAACACGTCTACACATATTTGTCTAAAAAAGGGAGGTCGCAATCGATTGTATACTGTAATATCGATTCTTATGAATAATCATTTGTTTTTAACTTCATTATAATTAAACTATTTTCCTCTAAGTAACATCTAATTATATTTGTAATCTAATCTAAGTTTTATAATTTTCACGGACTTATATGGTTAGTAAATAATATAAGATTTGTAACAAATTCGATTAGTCAGAGATAAAATCGATCTTGTTCTTTGAAAAGAGAGGGACTTCTCTAGGAATGACATTATTAATAAGATGCGTTCAAAATTAACATAATTTAAACTGCGTTCTAAAAAAATAAAGACATATTTTAGAGAGGATTATCTTTCTTTTCCCAGCTTTTAAAAATAAATTGTTAGTATATAATAATTACATTCAACTTATACTACATTTTGGTGATAGTTCCATCTTGGTACAAGAACTTTTTTTTTCGTAGTCCATTTTGACCATTGTTCTTTGAACTACTGGCTATTTAATTTCTAATTAAATATAACCTTTCAGATTTAGTTTCCTGTAATAGACAGAATAGGGTTACGGTCTACTAGTGCAATTACAGTCATATGTTCGGAAAATATGAAACATATTAACTTATAAATACTTAACAAAATAAATGTTATGACACTAATTTAGAAAATATTGCGCTTTGAAAACTTGAGTAAAATAAGTAAAATATATTTCGAAAATTTGCTTAAATACTTTGACATAAAATTAGTTACATAAAACGTAACAACTTTCATTATAACCGCTATAAACATAAACGCACAAATAATGAAGATTGCCCAGACACCCATACATTTTTCGCTACCATAGCACTGTATGACGTCAGTTAGTGACTTGTTGGGAGCGTTTTCGGCCGACTAGCAGCAGTTGCATAAACAAAGCACCGTATTTCCGAAACTATCAATTACAGATATTCTGTTACTTCTAGATTATTTCTCAGATATCAATGGACTAGGTATTTATTTATAATTTTTTGAACAAACTGTTTATTATATCGATTTTATGTAAGATTGTTTTATGAAATGTCAATTTTAAAATATTATTATTATTCATCATCAGCCCTTAATTTCGTCCCCACTGCAGGGGCTCGGGCCTTCCTTATGGATGGTTAAGGAGCATGGGCCATGACCCTCTACACTGGCCCAATGCGGATTGGCGGATATTAACGACTACAAATGCAGCCGGACCAGCCGCAGACCAACGGCTTAACATGCCTTCCGAAGCACGGAGTAGCTCGAGATAATAATATTTTGGTCACCCATCCCGTGAACGACCCTTGCGAAAGTTGCTTAACGACAACGATCGCGTGCCGCGGCGCTTATCCACTACGACACCGAGCTACTATATTTATATAATTATTATCATTATCGCTTTAAATCTTAGCTTGAGGCCGGTTAATTTTCCACCATAATGGACCTTCGCCAAGTTATTATTATTTTAATGATGATATTTTTCATGCGCAATTTTCTTTAAAAGTGATCCAAAGTCTTCACTTCATGTGTTAATACAATGATAATAATTTATTGTTGTTGAAAATTTTATTCACTAGGAGATGGAGTGGATCTAAAAACGGAAGACATTAAAGTCGATCCAGAGGCCGAGGCGGACGAAACGATAAAAACTAAGTGAGTAGTACCAGATATTATGAAACTATGTCTGTATTATCACTAATTGTTTCTCATTAATTATATAACACATACATACACACACACACATGCGCGCGCGCACACATTTTATATATTCGCTCAACTATTTATACAAATATGCTTAAATAGTATATTAGTTTTAAACATACTATATTTCGTTAAAGAAATTTTAACATCTCCAGCACATTATCTTCTTTGCCGTCACCCTAACATTTTCTGTCGCTTAAGACGGCCATAGATCGAGAAAGATATCAAGTGTACTATAGCACTCTGCGGAATCCTTTAAGACGTTACGCAATAGACAGCAAACAGAGAAAACAGAAATTACCGGGTCACGAATCGAATCGAATAGAGAGAATGAAAAATCCACCATACGGTCCAGTGCATAGTGGTGGGTGTTAACAATGAGATGCAGCCGGGACCGACGATCTATCTAACGCGCCTTTTGAAGTGTGGAGGAGCTCGAGATGAAACATTTTTGGTCGCTCATCCAAGACTGACTTTACGAATGTTGCTTAACTATGACATCGAACTCCTCAATTATAGTTTATTTGTATAGCGTGTTAAATAAATGGCGCAACATTATTGCAGAAAACGCATAAAGAAAGCAAAGGCGCAGTTCAACAAGAAATCAAAAGGTGAAAAGATAAAAAAATACAAGAGCCGACCGCACTCGTGTGAGTATTGTCAAAAGAAATTCCTACACTTGGAGACGTTGCAGGTGAGTGTTTGCTAATTGGTTCATTTACATTCCCCTGATATACAAAGTAATCTGTTCCATCCGGAACCAATACTTTTCTAATTGGTAACATAATAGGGTTATTGACAGTTATCAAAATTATATATGAAATGAAACTTTTACTAAATCAAAGATAATTAGTATTTATTTCTTCAATTCGGAATTTTCTAGTTTAGTAGTAAAATGAGTAATGAAATTCGAAGAAGTGATCGATATTTCTAATCGTAATTCTGTTTTAAAATTGAATTTCTAAAGATATTGTTTTTTTTTTATCTGTAGGTACATAAAAAATGCCATGAAGGCGAACAGTTAGTGTTGAAATGTGCCTTCTGCCTCGAGGTAATGTCCGATGAGGCAGCTCTCAAACAACACGAGCCCACACACGTGGGCCCTCGCCCTTACCTTTGCACTATATGCGGCAGAACTTATAAGAAGAGGGAGACAATGGTATGTAGTTTTTTTTAGATGTCTTATCCACAATTTTCTTTACTACGCATGCAATCGAGTAGGTAGTCTAAATGGATATTCAGCAAGTACCTGTTTTGGAAATCTTCCTTATTTTTTTATTAAAATTGAAGATATAAAATACAATTTTAGTTCAGTACGAGTATTTCGTGTTTACTGATATTGGTCTCTACTGCAACCTAGACATTATTTACTAGGTCGTATGATATCATAACATGACAGTTTTTGTATCGTGTTAAATTAAAATTAAAAATACAGTTTAAAATTTGAGAGTTTACAGGAATTTAGAATGAATGTTGTTAGTTTTAAAACTAAAACTTTTATACCCGTTTTCACTAACCTAGAACAAGACATAGGTTTACTAGAAATCATTTAATATTAAGAATAGCTTAAGCAGATTTATCATTTCACCAAACTTGTAACGTTAGGTAATGTCATACTAAGCACTAGCTTAGTTATGCAACGTTTGTCTATGATTTTGCATGCTTCATTTGCTCTTCTTTATTTTTATGTATGGATTATTTGCGTTTACACAATCCTGCCAATGTCAAGTTTGTGGCCTTTACACATAAAGAGACAATAACAACAATGGTATTTACACGAGTACCCAAGTCTTAATCGTCCATTTATAAAAAAAAAATCAAAAAATCTCATAGTTTATATCTTAATTCTAATATATGAACTCCTCGATTCCAACTTACTAATTTGACACATCCGCAAATACGCAAACGCCCAGCGCTATGTGCCTCAAAATGTATGACATAACTTTATGCGTTGCCTAAAGTCATTAGGTGGGTTGTCATTGGTGAAACGTATTTTCTCTTTGACAATGCCTAAGTGTCAGATTTGGACGACTCCTAAATTTATTGAAAACGGGCATTAAACTTTTATATCACCTTTTACAAACCTCTTACACGTATCGAGTAAAATACATTATAACTATCCTCCTAGATACTGGATAGCCAGCATTTATCCTGCCAGATACCGGGTTTTAAAAATACTAAATCTCAAATAGGGATGACGACGCTTATGACGTTTTAATCAAGGGAACTGTTAGCAGTATACAGTAGTAACGAAAATATAAGCCATGCCTTTCTTTGTTTGTCCTATATTAATGGAAAGGGTAGTAAGCAATTTACTTTTAACATAATATCATCATCATCAGCCCTTTTTACGTCCCCACTGCAGGGGCTCAGGCCTTCCTTATGGACGGTTAAGGAGCACGGGCTATGACCCTCCACGGTGGCCCAATGCGGATTGGCGGGTATTAACGACAACAAATGCAGCCAGGACCAACGGCTTAACGTGCCTTCCGATACACAAACTAACTCGAGATAATAATTTTTTGGTCATCCATCCCGTGATCGATCCTTGCGAATGTTGCTTAACGATCGAGTGCTGCAGCGCATATCCACTACGCCACCGTCACTTATGACTTTTTAATCTAGGGAACTGTAAGAAGAATACAATAGTAACGAAAATATAAGCCATGCCTTTCTTTGTTTGTCCTATATTAATAGAAAGAGTAGTAAGCAATTTACTTATATCATAATATTGTCAATGCTTTATAGGTATATCACAGGAAATACCATAAACCTGACAAGGAATTCCAATGCAACGTATGCTCGAAGAGTTTCAACGCGGCTTGTAAATTACAACGCCATCTAGTGAGCCACAGAGCGGATAAATTCGTGCTTCGATACGAGTGTCCTGTGTGCGCGCATATGTTTCATACAAAATATCATGTCCAGATGCACCTGGCTACGCATCAGAAGGAGGGGCTGTGAGTATTTAATTTTCATATGTATGACTTTGTATGAGAGTTGCATAAGACGTTTTAAACTATCAATCACATAGCTACACTTCAGTTGGTGAATCCGTGAATATTTTGTATTTGTATGAGATTTGTATGGAACCCATTTTTGGTTTACAACGTCCAGATGCACTAAGCAGGACATTTCCTTTTTTGTATGATGTAGTGTGAAAGTTTGTATTCAATTAAATGAAGAATTTTCACAAGCAAATGAGGCTATAGCAAAAAGTGTAGCTACGACTCTTTCGTGTTTGTATGAGACATGTTTATAGTGTAAAAGTTCATAATGGAATATAACATTTTTTTTATTTATTGCCATAGAATCGTAGAAGAAAATCGCAATCAGATACTAGCAATGGTACTACAAAACGCCAGAAAAATACCTAAACAGCCAGACGGTGCAACAAACGTCACAGATTTAATACCATCAGATGAAAGGTCGAGGGTATGTAACATATGTGGGGAGGTATTCCAACATTTCTATTATTTAGAGGAACATTTAAAAGGGCACGCCTCAAAAATAACCATAGAAGAGTTAGAAAAACAGGAAGAAAAGAAACATGTTTGTCAAGTATGCAATAAAAGCTTCAAGTTGCATTACTATTTGAAGTTGCACAGTTTCACACACACTAAAGAGAAACCTTACATTTGCCAGCAATGTGGGAAGGGCTTCATCACTAAAGGCAAGCTTAAACGACATCTGGAAACGCATACGGGTCTCAAAAAATACCAATGTCATATATGTTATAAGTATTTCACTAGGACAAGTTATTTGAGGATACACGTCAGGACGATTCACGGTACACAGGATTATAATTTTAGATTACAGAAAGTTTACAATGCCAATATGCAGAGTTTATGCCAATAAGAAAAAGTAATGTAATACAGGCTTGCCTTTTTTTGTTAAAAAAAGGCATATTTGTTATTTTTCTTATTAATTACAGTTGCCTTTTTTAAAATATCATTAGAAATGAGAACTATTAAAAAGACTTGTGTTCTTTTTATTTATAAAAAACTGCTGGTGCTTTTATCAAGAAAAATAGAAAGTAAACTAGTGAATTATATTTGCCTTTTTTAAAAGACTCATTTGATTATTATACCAATGTACATATTATAATTCTTTTGTGAAATAAGCAGCAGAGAAGGTGAAAGTCAATTTTGGGTTAAGGTATTTTTTGTCAAAATATTTTTTATCAGTTTTTTGTTAATTATGTGATATAGCTACTTATTGAATACACTTTTAAATAATATTTTATGCAATTCGAAAATGGACTTCAAAATTTGTAAAAAAATATTTCTATTTTTAAAATAGGTTAGGATTTTTTAAATTGGTTTGGTTTTAGAAAATCTTTTTACTTAAAACAAGCTTTGTAAAACGCCACAAAAATATTTTTAAGTGTTAAATATATATATAAATAGGTGTAAATATATAATTACACTTTAAATAATGAAGTAGCGACCAGTTTTTCGTCGCAAATAATGTTAAGTCTAGAAGACTTATAAAAATTGTAATATATATTACGTAATTTACTGATATTATTAAACTTTTTTCGTCCAATTTTTAAATAACATACAAGTGTATTAGGAAAAGAGGTTTTGGTGAAAAGGTTTTATTAATTAAAGTATACTTTGATTAAATGAAATATGGGAGACTGCGGCCACTTATTCCCCTTTTTAATTTTTTGGTTATGGTTTTATTATTATTATAAAATCACATCACTTGATCCATCACATTCGACAAAGGTACCAAGTTTAGAAAGCTAGCATGTATCATGAACTATAGAATGTTAGTGTGTATCATAACATAGTTTTTAAAATTATATGTGCTCATATTAGCTCTGTAAATATTCCATACCAAGTCTCCTACGGATCAACTGTCTCTAGTCTCCCAAGAAACATTAATAAAAATATAAAAGTAACATAGTTGTGCAAAATGGGCACAAAAATTAATCATCATAGTTTACAACGATTAATTTGTTTCGTTCAAAAATAAATACGATATTAGAGATTTCCGTTTGTCCGTTCGAGTACGCATATCTGCACATCGGGTTATTGCTAGTCTGTGTGTTCTGTGACAGTCTGCGCATTCTATAGGATTTCATTCTATAGGATTGTCCGTTTAACTATACACTGTCCGCTAAGCCTATTGAAAGAAATGGCCCTTACCTTTGTAGAGTACAATAACCTTGCGTCTCCTAGGAACTCTACAGAATAGAGAGTATACAGTTTGCATAAGAAATAAAAAGACTCGTATGTAGATACCACCCTGTTTGATCAGATGATACTATGTCAATTTCCCTTCCTTTGCTCAACTGTCAAAAGATTGTTTTAAATTTGGTTGGAGAAATTTAGCCTTTCACAGTATAGCAATATGCCCGTTTTCATATTATGTCAAATAAGCGAGTCTGCATCCACTCTGCCTAACTACGTAATTTGTTAAAAAAAATATTCGTTTTAATTCTTCAATGTGAAGAATAAACTATATTATATATAAATTTAACCTTATTTAAAGAGAATTGTAAATACAGGAACCAATATGATACAAAATATGTGAAATAATATTATTGTAAATTTGATATTCATAATGCTATTTTAACATTCATCTTAACATATTTTAAAAGAAAACTAGCATGCAAGCCTACCGGATGGATTAATTTAGATCGACATCTGCTTCAATCCAATGAACTCAACGACGTACCTAAGCTATGTATCATTCGTTGAATCGATACCGCCCACAGTCTTAATCGATTACGCGATTGTCAATTGTATTGAACGATAGTGCATTTGGTTCAAGCCGATGTCAATCAAGCCGAAGTCAATACATTCAAAGGACGAGTTGTTTTTTTTTCAAATGAACTGAATGCATTGTTCTGAATTTTAAGCAATTGTTAAGTTTATTAATTACTTTTAAACTTATTAGGGTGATGTGTTTAAGATTTTTTGTCTTAATAAGGGATTTTATAAATAATTTTTTATTGTAAAAAAATAATGACGCAAGTTTGATTTCGTACTGGAGTTTTTATGACGCCAGTTAAATTATCGGTTAAAAAAATTGACAATCAAATTCTAATAAACTTCGCTTTGATGTTCTAAAACTAGATACAAAAGTATCATAGAAATACGTTACTGATTTTTATAATTTAAGTAATAAATTAAACAGTTAGATCCAACTTAAATGGCGCATGGTAATATTTCTGTAAAATTCTAAACCGAATTCACTCATGCGTCCGAATACATGTTTTATGGATCCATGCCGCTTTTTACTGAATCGAAGGGCTGCTCAGCCAATTCCGACGATGACCTAACATATGTATTAATGAGTCTTGTTTCAATAATCATAACGTGTATAATATAACGCATTAGTTGTTAAATACAGGAGTTATTATAGTATTCAGTACCTCATCAAATACGCCAAAGTGCATCAATACTTAATGCCAATATCATTAAGTTACAAGTACAGTAAGTTCGATTTTAGCGCATTCCGAATATTTTAAAATCTGATTCTTTACAAAAAATTATATAGATAGCCCGGTCGCCGAACAGAAAGAATTTCGTACTTTGACCTTTGTGCCTGCTGATAGGTATCGGTAAACATTTGAGGTTCACTTTACTGTGACAAAATTGGCTAGATGCATCTGTGCGAGCGCAATAGCAATATGTTTGCGTACGAGTGAAAGAGATATGTAATGCCGGGTCATTGTAAAAATTCTTACTAGTTGCCGACAGTCCTATAGTCAATTCAACTTCGACATAATAAGATATACCGCTACCTATAAGCAAAAACGTTCTTCATTTACGATGAGAAAGATAGTCTGTTTGTCTCTTTCTATTGACACATACACAGTAAAGGATAGATGTGTTTGGCGGTGTCGAATCGTTCTGCTATGTTTTTCGAGTGCACGAGTAAAAAGAGATAGGTAGTGTGCCGTGATCTCTCTTTCTAAGCGAGTGAAAGTTGAGGCCATGGTTTCTCTGTTAATTCGATAGCCTGAATCTTGTCTATCACATGGAGAAGGAGACAAATTATTACAGGATGAAGCGCCTGAATGTATTTTTTTTTATATTTCGTCGGTTATTGTAATTTCTCTTGCCTTAGAGTTACTAGCATATTTAATTTTTAATATAAAAATAACATGACTATGAAAAGAAAGTTGCATTTAAAAGCTTACGCCTTTTTTCGATAAAATATGAATTCACCTCTTACCCAGTGTCGTCACTTAAAATTATATAGTTTATTTATTTTTACAATCAATCAGTGATTTATTTGAGGCCTTGTGTTAAGTTGTATCTTTTTCTGTAACGAGTTTTAAATGTTTCCTAAATACAATGTTACATTTATTATAATAGTTTCCTTATTCCGTAGATAATTTCAATGTTTTACCATACTGTGTAAATATTATTGTTTTTTCTTAATATTACATTTTTTAGCAATAATCATGTGAAGGTAATGTTTGGTGTTTGCATATTTTCAAAGGTTGTTGATTATTTTGTAATAATAAAGATGAATAAATGACGAGTTTTCATGAAATTGTTTTTTTTTTTAAATTGAAACGTTATTTTGTTATAATAAATTAATATTCATCATCAACCTATTAAAATCCCCACTATTCGGGCTCAGGCCTTTCATGGATGGAATCAAGTCAAATTGATTAGGGAAAATGGGCCATGACCCACTACGCGGTCCCAGTGCGGATTGGTAGGTATTAACGGCTGCAGATGAATGGCAGGAATAGAATCAAATTGAATAGGGAAAACGGGCCATGACTCACCACGCGGTCCTAATGCGGATTGGTTGGTATTAACGGCTGTAGATGAATGACAGGAATCGAATAAAATTGAATAGGGAAAATGGGCCATGACCCACCACGCGGTCCCAGTGCGGATTGGTTGGTATTAACGGCTGCAGATGAATGACAGGAATCGAATCAAATTGAATAGGGAAAATGGGCCATGACCCACCACGCGGTCCCAGTGCGGATTGGTTGGTATTAACGGCTGCAGATGAATGACAGGAATCGAATCAAATTGAATAGGGAAAATGGGCCATGACTCACCACGCGGTCCTAATGCGGATTGGTTGGTATTAACGGCTGCAGATGAATGACAGGAATCGAATAAAATTGAATAGGGAAAATGGGCCATGACCCACCACGCGGTCCCAGTGCGGATTGGTTGGTATTAACGGCTGCAGATGAATGACAGGAATCGAATCAAATTGAATAGGGAAAATGGGCCATGACCCACCACGCGGTCCCAGTGCGGATTGGTTGGTATTAACGGCTGCAGATGAATGACAGGAATCGAATCAAATTGAATAGGGAAAATGGGTCATAACTCTCCACGCGGTCCCAGTGAGGATTGGTTGGTATTAACGGTTGCAGATGAATGACAGGAACTAATGGTTTAGCGTGCCTTCCGAAGCACGTAGGAACCTGAGCAAATGAATTTTGGTCACCCATCCAATGACCGGCCATTGCTTAACAACTGTATCGGAAGCTAAGCGCGCTTACCACGGCTCCATCGAGCTTTGAAAATTAATATTAAATTGCATTAATTATATTTCTATTGTTCAAATTTAAGAAAAGTGTCTTTAAGTAAACGATAAAGGTACCATCGAGCCGGAGGCAACAATATAGAATTCATAGTTTCGTTTCTATATTGTCACCCTGTTGCTACTACTATAGCTGCGGCTGCCGCTAACCAAAGCTAGAATAGATGTTATAGCTATCCTGTTGGGGTCTTGAAGAGTGTAGTTGATAGTAGTTTGGATAAAGTTGAATAAAAGTTCAAGTTAAACACTACTGTGTAAATAGTTAAGTTTATTTAATTAGTAGATAAGTTTAGTTAGTAGATTACATGAGTTGATCAAGTATAAATTACAACTAACTTTAATGTCGATACATATTATATACTTAGATTATAGAGTGAGTTCCTATTATTATGCATGATGGGGTTGTACCCAGGATCGAACCCTCGACTCCGATGGCGTGTCAAAATTTAATATTCTTGCCTAGAAACAAGTGTGCGAGTGTCAATGTTATTATACCGTTAAAGAATATCTAAATGACAAAAAGACATGGTGTTAGATATTTAACCTGATGTGATTATCGTTGTACCGTGTCATGCAACCATTGATAGATGTATTAGAACTCCTTAATTCAGTGCATAAGTTAAGTACCTAGAGTCACGTTCTCTTAAAAATCTGCAGTGGTCTCGTGTGTGGCGAGTCGTTACGTTCCCTAAAATATGGTTGAGCGAAGCGATGGCTGGCTCATGCGTCATGTTCGTGAACTGGTGCTGCCAGTGGGGATGAGTCTGCTCTGGACTACTTCATTTTGTCCATTTTCTTTTATGATGAATACTGTATATTGATTTGTTAATGAGTATGTAGGTATGACTCGGCAACCAACTTGATATTTCTATCGTATTGTGTAAAATAAAACATGGAGAAAAAAGCTACAAAACCTTAGCCTGGTTTCATGCCGGTTCTTCTCAGTCTCCCGCTCAGTTCTTCTCTGTCTTCAAAGTCTCCCGCCTTAATTTTGCGAACCGTTGGCGTAGTTTCGACTTTCACAACGGCTATGTGACATCCTAGACT